GGGTAGGCTAGTCCTTAAAATATAGAAGCCTCTTGGAAAATTGCGGCTGGAAAATATTTAGTTTTAAAAGACAGTAGCATTATGGTAAGGTGCGGACTATGAACCCAAAGGCCGCGAGTTCAAATCCGTGAACCACGCTCCTAACACAAGCATTTTAAGTTAACTTTGAGTGTAATAGTAATGTAATAGCATTCATTGTTAGTATTAGTTATTAATAAAAAAAAATAAACAAATTAATCTTCAAAATATAATGATTTCTCTTCTTTTTAACCTATATGTTTTGCTTATATACGAGTATGTCTTTCTACATCTTTTTCTTATATATCTTATATATAAAATCAATTGCTGTCCGTTAGTCTCGCTAAAACTCGAAACTGGCTCGACCAATTCTGATTTTTTGTGTGTGTATTTGTGTGGGTCCCTGGATGGTTTAGAATTTAGATTCACAATTGGAACCGGTGGGTAGAGCTGTTGTCGAGATTTATAGATATATAAACACGATGAAAACAATGGTGGATAGGAAGAAGAGATACAATTAAGGACGGGAGTTATGATGGGAAATATTAGAGCTTTGAATAGATTTTTGAAGGAAAAAAGACTGAGCACGTCGAATATATAAAGACAAGCAAGCACAAGCGTTCAACTATAACCGAGAATTTATTGAAGAAGAAGGATGAATGTGCTGGAATACGAAGCGAAATATTATTGTTAGTGGAACGTAGATGACGATCGTGAGAGGAAAAGATGAATTCAAAGCGGTCTTTCAGGAAACGTGGAGCGGAGAGATTGAACAGTGTGCAGTATAAAGCAGAAAGGATATGAGTATTCCTGCGAAGGCGAATCGGCAGCCACTTGAGACGTTTACGAAATTGTGAAATATGAATTTTTGAATTTCCATCATGTCGAATGTCATCAGTACTTTTGTAAAAGTGCTGTAGTCGTACTATGACCAGAATTGAAATCGGATTGCAAGGGATTGAAGAGGTTATATTCTCGTAGATAAGAGCTTAGTTGCTTAGACACCAGATGTAGAACGTAGAACACTTAACATAGGAAAGGGAGTAGAGAAATTGGCCGGTAATTAGAAAAACATTTACGATTGTTTTTTTTTCTTAGGAAGGGCAATCCCATTAGCATCTTTCCAAGCAGATGAAAAAGAAGCAGTTTTCAATTATTGAAGATGGAAGTAATTACAGGGGTAAAAAGATCCAGGATGTGAATGATCATTTTACGACTAATAACGCCACCACCTACTGAATTCGAATGGATGGATTAAATGGCTCTCTCAACGTCACAAATATTAAATTGTCTAAAATAAAAAGCAGAAGAGAATTGCGTGGGAAAATTAGAGAGAGGAATTTCGAAAATATTTTGCTTTGCTTGGTAATCAATGCAAGACGTAAAGTAGTGCTGATTGTGGTCAATATTATGATGTGATAAGATTTCACTTTTCTTCCCAACTTCTAACGACTTAAGGAATTTCCAGACCCTGGCAGGGTTGGGGTGACGCACCGATTCATGAATATGGCGTCGTTGTGCACAAGTTGTTGCAACGATTCCGTATCAATCTATATTTCTCTTTGAACACATCACTAGGATCTGATTTATGTTTAAGGGTGACAAACGAGCACACAGTCCACCTGATGGTAGGTGGTAGCTGCGGCCCATAGACATCTACATCTATCCTCGTTTGCGAATCAAAATGCAGATGCATTGTCACCCGTGAGGATTAAGATGGAATGCCTCGTTTCCAGTAAAAAGGTTCTCCGGTCCTCTACAATCACTAAATGATACACAGCAGCATTAAGCTAATATTTTATGCCGATATTGCATAACGCATAATATTGGCATATTAATTTAGATTAACATAATACAGTAGATATGAAATACCAAATTTAATTAAATTAATAATAAATATGTATTAGTTGAAAGTTTTTTTTAACCCCTATCAATTATTAGAAAAATTAAAGTTTTTCTAAATAAATACCTTCATAGAATTCTATAAAATTTATATGGTGCAACAATAAATTATCATTTAAAAAAATGTCTTATTTACAATTCTTATGAAAGTTATTTCTTTTATGTAGCATAAAGTTACTAGCACTTAAAATATATGTCATTAAATCTATCAAAGGATTATTTTACATATTTAAATTTCTTAGGATTTCACTCATTTATATTGAAACCATTGTATTATATTTTAAAACATAAAAAATATTATTTTATGAGTATCTGAAAATATTTGAACTTACCATTTATATGAAATCCAAGAAAAAGCAATCCAATCCACTACTAACTTAAATAAACCTATGTATAAACATACACACATTCCGGATAAAAATATGCAAAACATATGAATTGAAACAGATTAGATTTCTAATTCTAAAGATACCTTTTATGAATACATAACAGTGAATTGAATATGGAAACAGGTTGCTACTACCAAATTCAAAAGGGTACTGCGGAGAGTTGTCACTTTCAGCACCCACCGAGCGGTGAACAACCATTTCTTTGGACGAATAAAATCAAAAATTCACAAACTCTACCTTGCCATTGGATAATAAAGTCTATACCCCTTTGCGCCTGTGCTAAAAAACGAAAAGGGTTAAAATAGTCACCCCTTTTTTAAGCACCCCATTGCTTTGCATCTCTTTCTATGATTTATGAACCCTACAAAAGTGTAATATTTTTTCAAACCATGAACACAAAATAAATATTATGTTATGTTATTTGTATACATATTTATACAGCAATAACTAAAATAAAAATAATATTTGTAAAAATTTTAATGGATTTTCAAAAGATACTATCAAATTTTTAATTTGTTACCTAAAAATTATTTAAATCAATTACAATAGTAACTATTTAATTATAGGCAGACAAAATTATGATAGACAACTTACTGTTTAAGGATTTTAAAATTGATAATTACATTTTAACCTTAAAGATTTTAAACGAAATTCTCCCGCTGCATACATTAATATAAGATTCGTTAAACGCATCCTTGTTCCTTGAATGAAGTTTGTTCGGAATAATAGCTAATTGGAAATATTTTCCTAAAGTATAACTTTAAAAATATTGATATACACTACTAAATCAAGTTCTATACCTTAAATGACATAATATATATATATGGAAAAAATTGATCATCAATAATTTATTAAGAAAAAGGTTATTAATCTTGTGATGAACTGTGAATCGGAACGAACGTTCCGTTTAACGTCTTCTAATAACTCAAAAGTTATAACATCTCTTATAAATTAAATTAATATTATAAACATAGTGAAAACAAACTTGTAATTATTCTTTGTAAAGACTTTTATTTTGTTTAAGATGTTTGAACTAATATTAATAAATTAATTGAACTCTAAAAATCTTGACGAAAAACTTCAAGTGGCACTTGCTTTGTAGCAATAACTAAGTTTTCTATGTGTGTTAAATATTAACATAACGTCAAGTCATAGATTTATAGAGTGCAGTCCACATAAAAGATTAATAAGAGATTTGGTGGTAACTTGTCACTCCCATGACTGACTTGACACTGGCAGAATTCTATCAAGAGAGTCATAATTTAAAGAAGAGGAAGAACTATCAGTGGATTATTACTATTTTATTGACATTTATTTAAGGTTTAGAAAGTTTTAAGTTGTACTGTTTTGTGTGATATATTATGGCTGCACAATGCACATGTGAAATAATAGACAAAACGATGAAGCAATGATTCCAGGCCGATATTAACTGTTGACAATTTCTTAACAGAAACTGTTTTTTGGCCCTCCTCGGGATCCGAACATTGGATCTCATGATCAGCAGCCGCGTTTACACCACTAGACAAACAAGGCAGTGCTAAGCTAGAAAATACATATACGTATGTTGTCTATGCGATATTTATATCGTAGTACAAAAAAGTCAAATTACTCAAATGTATTTTTTTTTACTTTTCTCTCATATAGTATTGTTACAAATGAAACACATATTCACCGCTAATTAATCCCCATGAATATTACCAGCTCAGCTAATAAGGCAATATTTTTCGACCGATTTTAAACAACCAGTATGAATAAAGTGGATATAAAGATATTAGCATATTAGAACAGTTTGGATTACTCATACATGAGTACACCGGAAAGTGCTAATATATTAACGGGATATATACAGGTTCCACCACTAACTGTCATTCAAATCTTGAAGCTTCGTATGTGACGTAAAGTATTGTCAAAGTACACGTTAGATTAAGCTGTATAGGCGCAGCTCCCTTTGCCTGTAAAGTGTTAGTTTGACCATTATACTATATGTATAAGTTTGACATTGTTCTCCACTCTTGGCTCTTGTCATCTTGACAAATTTGCTTCACTAAACCTATTTTCTATGCTCAAAGCACTAAACTGATTGAGGAGTATTGGCTAGCTTGCTGCATATTTATTTATCTATGGTTTTGGCGGGAAGTTGACCGGCGGCGGATTGCTACTCCTGTATTATTGTTTAAATAATGGTTTGAAGAGGAATTTGATGTGTAAAAGTGGTGCAATTTTGTGTATTAAGTGTCTGCGCATGTTAACTCTTAGTGGAAATGATGAAACAAGTGCTCTGATGGTGATGTGATTCTCAAGATAAGGTGTCTATCTGCTTAGGCGTCTTGAGATAACATCGCCAACTGTCAGCTGTCTGCTGGCTCAAGTTACCGTCAAAATCACCCAAGGGCTGCACAATGTGACACATAAACATAATATTGTGAAGCAGTGTACTATGAAGGATAATTATGCATTGTAACATCAGGCTCAGAAGGGCTAGAGCCCAGAGCGATAAAGCCAGTTATAAAAAAATGAACTGATTGACATTTGACAGTTAAAATTTTATTTATCTATGGTTAAAATTCGTAATATATAATATATAAATATATTAATTTTTATAAAGACATTACTTAGAATGTTATAAATTATATATATATATATATTACTTTTACTGTTTATTATTTAGTAAATAAATTATTATTATTTAAAATGACACTTTACCATTTTGGAAATTGCCTTGCTCTAATTTATGCACCTTATCACATGGCCTATAAGTTTTCTGGAATGTAAGTCTTAAACGTATTTAAAATAAAATCGTTGTGCACATTGACGATAATTACATTATTTGTTTTTAGATCAGAATACGCAACATTTTCAAAATGCTTGTATGCGGGGGGTTTGTATATCTTCACTCAGCTATGTAAAATGTTATTACTTGCCACATTCTTCCCAGACTCCGATAGTGGTCAAATCACAGGGGAGTACGATGTTTTTATGGTAAGTAATTCTCTTTACATTTCACTTTGCTTTTAATAAACTTGTTGCAACAAGTTTGCCATACAAATGAATACAAAATTAAGTATATACACTTAAAAATGTAATCTATATAAATAAAATGATAGAGGTTTGCAGTTGTGCCCGCATCACGGAAAAACTACTGGATAGATTTCAATTAGGTTTTCTAAGTGATAAACGTGATTTGCAGTAAAGAACGCAGGTGGGCTGATTTTTTTATGTCTAGTGTATATCACTTTTTGATTGAGAATCCCGAATCTAAAACAAACTGCAACAACCGTAATGTAAAATCCACCGTGTGAGACATAAAATCAATATTTATATTAATATTATGGAAAAATTACACATAACATTTTGTAAAAGGTGTAAAATACTAATGGTATTAAAAAAAAGATTAAAAGAAATATTAAATAATAGGTCTAATAGGTCTTTGACCTTCAAATCCTACGTACTCCAAGTTCCTGCGAAACACAAAGAGACATTCCTCGCTCCCGATTTCTGGTCCTTAGTGTTTCGCCAATACAGGGACAAGCCAAAGAAAAAAGTTCCCTAAATAGTGTTACATTTATATTTTCTATATATTTTTAGGTTAAGGTATAATATTGCTATGGGCCTATGTTCTTCATTTTTAAGTCCTTGATGCATGAAATAAAGTTATTGTATTGTAATAGGATGAGAAAAAGTTTGGAGCAAATAATATAAGGAATCAAATAAATGGTCAGGTGTTCCCTCATCAAGTCCTCATTCATAAATAGAGCTGTTTGCAGAACACTATTACTCTGAGCTGTCTCTCTAAGGTTTACATAAACAATATTCATGCCATTTAAGTAAAATGTCAAATGTCAATTCATTAGTTTATTTTTAATTTTTTATGCTCGCCAAAGAAGAAAACTTTTCAATCTATGATGGCATCATTAATAAAAGTTTACGAATTAATTAAAATTTACTACTCCATATAAAACAAGAATAGTTAAAATTTAACCTTATTGTATACCAAATTGTTGAAGAGTTTTGTAATAAAAATGTTGATTAGAGACTTTAATTTGCTTTTTATTACATTATAGATTATTCTTCTAATAACCATATAGTAAAATGGAGCAAATAATTGTATGCCTTAATTAAGAGCTATATAAAAAAAAATCATACCTGATTAACAGCATGTAAGACTAAGTCTAACACACCAATCTGCATAGTGTGGAGATTACTGCATCTGTGCTAAGACAGGCCATATCCCGCAATGAACTGTGACTTCCTAATTATGACAAAAATTTAAAAGTAATTAAATTATTTTTTCAGGAAATCCTCAAAGCTACAGTAGATTTTGCAGATCTTTTAGGATTGTACTTTGCTCTGAATTCGGTGCCTGGAAAAGGACATGCAAAGATCCTTACATCTGCTATTGGATGGGCAAGTGCCGAGGTGAGTTTCTTTAAGAAAATCTAAAACTACATAATACTAAATACATATACACTTACATTAGTGTAGTTTATTGTGCTTGTTTTATTTACTTTGAAAGTATACCACCATTTCATACGTAATTTAAGTTTATGTCCACCCTAATATCTTTTTTTGTTACACTAGCATATGCTCCTGTATCGTGGACACAGTTTACACACATAAATTTCACAAGTACAAAAATCCAGACCCAGAACAATTATTTGTAGGCAATACAAATACTTGTTGAGTGTGGGACTTGAACCCACTGCCCTCAGAGCCACAACTCATTCCTAAACCACTGCACACCATAGAACCGTCAAAGGTTGCCTGAAAGAGATTGCTTTTAGTGAATAGGCCCATCATCATTATTATCATCATCATTACAGCCCTTCACAAGTCCACTGCTGAACATAGGCCTCCCCCAAAGAATGCCACAAAGCACGGTCCTGAGCCACCTGCATCCATCGACTTCCTGCATGTCTTACCAGGTCGTCACTCCATCTCGTGGGGGGACGCCCTACACTTCGCCTACCGGTACGAGGCTGCCACTCGAGAACCTTTCTTCCCCATCGGTTGTCGGTTCTTCGAGCTATATGGCCGGCCCACTGCCACTTCAGCTTACTAATCCGTTGGGCTATGTCGGTCACTCTGGTTCTACTGCGGATATCCTCATTCCTAAGTTTATCACGCAGAGAAACTCCGAGCATAGCCCTCTCCATAGCTCGCTGAGCGACCTTGAGCTTCCTCATACGGCCAGCAGTGAAGGACCACGTCTCAGTTCCGTAAGTCATCACTGGCAACACGCACTGGTTGTACAATTTCGTTTTAAGGTTTTGAGGTATGTCTGACGAGAAGATGTGTCGTAGCTTCCCGAACGCTGCCCAGCCGAGTTGAATAGGCCCATTGTACAATTAATTTAAGATACATTTTCTGTAATTTGTATATTTTGTTTATGGTGTTCAATAAAGTTTTCATTTATTTATTAGTATTATAGATAGTAAAAACTTCAATTTTAAAACTTTATATAAAATAATGTAATTATAAATGTTATAGAATATGTCATTTAGAATATATACTTAGAAATATTATGCAAATTACGTAATTATTCTATTACTGTGGGTATTCTGGCCGATTCTACTGTCTAGTGGCGGTGTAGGAATATTCTCTACCCTATCACATCCCGTGGGTGTCGTAAGAGGCGACCGAGGAAAGCTAATCAGGAGCAGCAGTGGCTTCCTAATAACAACTAAAAATAAAAAACTGGTTGCTGATCCACTTGCCATGCGTGGCAACTATGGCAAATATCACCCTATGAGGCAATCTATGGGAGGGGCCTATGTTCTGCAGTGGACTTTAATAGGATGTAACGGTAATGGTGGATATTCTATTTTGTCTATTATTGTTGATATCACTAAGAAGATAATTTATTTTTGGCAGGTTGTCGTCACCCGTAGCGTATTGCTGTGGGTTGGTGCACGTGGTTCGGAATTCGATTGGCGCTACGTTCGCTCCTGTGCAGAGTCCAATGTCGCTTTACTTCAACACGCGGCCACTGCTGCTCTTGTCTGGCTGTGGACGAGAAGTGACCTGCCCCGAAAACACACACCTGTAGTCATTACACTACTTGCGTTGTCTCCCTACAGAATGCTCTTAGAGGACGCTGTAGCCAGTATACTTTCTTTGAGCGCTTGGTCTTTGTTGGCCTTGCGTGCGTTACACGCATCGGCGATCGGTCTCACTGCATTAGCAATGTATGCAATTCTGGCGCAGCAACTTGGTATATGATCACAAATACCTTCTCAGGAAATTTGTTTTACAAATAATGTGGATGCATTGTTTATAGAAGACTAGAGATATTTTAGTTTTTTAAGCCTTCATATTTATTACTAAGTGATAGATGTATGAAATGTTGTCTTTGGTTGTGTGGTAAATAAATATTAATATAATGGCAACAAATGAATGCTTTGAGAAATGTTCCAAAGGATTTTTATTTCTTTATTTTCCCATAGTCCGTATGTCTTACGAGGAGGTGACACACACTCCAAGTTCATGTAAAGAACCCCATTTACTCTTCGTTTTATATCCTTGTCATGTCTACTATTTCTGCTAAACACACATCCTAAATACATAAACTCATCCACTTGCTCTACCCACTACTGTTATTTCACATGGATTACAGATTTTATTGTGTTTAATTTTAATTTTCCAATTCCCTATGTTTCGAGCGCTTTACAGCACCAATGGTCACAGAAAAAACACTGAGGGGTTTGTCGTCGTGTGATTTTAACGAAGGCTACCTTCATCTTATAAATATTAATCTTTAGTATTATCTACGCAACGGCACGAATTAAAAAGTTAAAATAATTTAAAAAAACATCGTGAAGACACGCGATAAAAGTGAAACTTTTGTATTACAGGGAAACATTTCAATTAAAACGATTGGAAACGTTTCGGGTGCTTTACGTCGGGAATTGAAAAGTTAAATTAAACGCGATAAAAACTAATTTAATTTAATGTGTAGTCTTCGCGTAAATATAAGAAATCATTACGTCAATCAATTTTTCTTCGATAAAATGACTTTACCTATGGAATGTAGTAGATGGCGCTATTACTCAAATGCGATCTTTCTTTCTAAAATAAATAGGTGTAACTTGGTGACTCTTTTAAGTATAATTAATATTTTGTAACTAAATTACTATATACTTTATGGTACTTATATAAGGGCCCGCGTAGTGTACGTAGTATTTACCCCCACCACTTTTGGTCACACAAATAGGTTGCAGATTAGAATTTCAAAACCCTCCCGTAAAAAGTTTCACTTCAAAATACGATAAATTAGTTTCATTTGATTTCCAAACAATTGTTCTTAAACGTTTTAAACAGCCACGTGGAAGATACACACACCTGTCAGACTACTTTAAGGCCACCGTTTGCAATAAAGCAACCCTTTTTAACATGGTAGAGCCATGCTGCATCTATATTAGTGGTATAGTTGTGGCATGAATGGGTCGGCTTGACCGGGGAAGGACTGCACTCTCACAGAATACCAGCTCAACACAGCTTTTTCGAATGGTGAAGGTAGGGTACCAGAGACCCTTTTCACTGGAAACGAGGCATTCTTTCTTATTTTGTAAGAAGTTTTGCTCAAACTTAGTAAACAGAACAAGTCTTTTGTAATATGTGGAGACTTTAACATCAATCTCCTTGAAACTTCTTCCATTAGTATTAAGTTTAGCTCGTTATTTAAATCGTGTAATTTTGTTAATTTATTCTTAGAACGGGCACGTGTTGCGGGGCCTATTGCGACCTGTATTGATAACATTTTTACAGATGTTCAGCCCTTGCATAAATCAATCATTCAAAATTTACGTTCAGATCACTGTGGACAGTTGGTCTCATTGTCTTACATACACAAAAACAAAAATGAAAAAGTTGTGTTTGTTCCAATAAATGAACATTGTTTGGAGTGCTATATGCTATATCATACAATCATAGTGTTATATTTAGAGAGTATGTATAAACATATTCAAATTTTTTAAAAGCATGCCCCACAGGCTTTACATTTAAGTAACAAAATTAAAACTGCATTTGATAAAATTAAAATGACATGGAGTATAATAGTGAAACGGGCAAGGTCAAACCACGGAATTCAGATTTTCAACTGAATATTAACTCAATCTGATCAAGAAGGTGCTATGACTTTTGAGAAACATTTTACTGATGTTCCTTTCTAGTAGTGTTCCTTAAACATCGATAGACTATCGATTAATCGATAGTGTTTGCACTATCGATTCTATCGATAGTCTGGTTAAACTATCGATTGTCATCCTTATCGTAATTTTTGTCTATAGTAGATGTCTCCCTTTAGTCTAAGGCCAGTGAAATCCCTATAAATAAACTGTGTGTGAATAGCTAATTAATATGTGTAACGCTGACGTAAGTCACTATTTTTGCGAGTCCTAGAACGGGCGGTTGATCTTGCGTTTTATAGTTTACTCATTTGTTTTGTATTTGACTTCATAATGAATCGAAAATTTATCCTAAAAATCAATCATTAATGTGGAGTTATTTCTAGATAGTGGACAATAATTGTCCGTTGGTAAAGTGTAACTTTTATAATCAAGAATATAAGCGTTTAGGAAATACGACCAATCTAAGAGATCACTTGAAAAGAAAACATGCCGATAAAATAGATAGGTTAGAATCGGAAGAGGGATCATCGTCTGAACATCAAAGCAGCGTTGTTCCTGACAAATTTAGAGTTGCCGTATCCTAATCCTAAAATTGCCGGATTTTTAGGGAAAACTAAGAAAAATGCCGTATTGTACAAAATGTTTATAACTTTAGGTTAAAATTAAAAAAAAAGATGAAACGTTTACATAATAAATGTGTACTATAGTTGGACTAATTTTATTCTTCACCATATAGGTTTTGAATAGTTTCCAGTACTTCTGATTCTGTCGCATTTAAGTCGTCCTTTTTTTTATCTTTTATTTTACGAATAATTTCATTTGGCACTTGAAAATTTGTACAATTACCGTGATTACGGATTGCTTGTCTGGCTAGAAGAGTTCCATTAATAGTTGAAGTTATTAATTTATTTCGAAGTCTCGTTTTTATATTATTTACTTCACTGAAGATATGCTCGCAATCTCCGTTTGAGTATGGCAGACATAAAACATTTAAAGCAAAATATGCTAAGGTTTTTAGTTCTGTTCCATCACGGATTTTAATCCAATACTCATCGGTTTTCTGTGAGCTAATTTCATATAATGGTAATTTGTTTACCACTGGTAGTATTCTCCATTCATCATCATTTTTTTGGAAATCGTCGGCATTATTGACGTTTCGTGGCAACTTTTGCATAAGCGGTAAAATGGATGGACAAACATTTCTTGTTTCATTACTAGCTGCTTCTTCAGGTGATAAATATTTTTAAAGTTGACAGAGAAGTCGTATTTTTTTTTAATTTCTTTGCAGCCTGTGATGAGGAAATCTCTGCAGCGAGAGTAAAACTCTTTTAATTCTTCTTTTTTTTTGCTTTCTATCATAATTTTTACCCCCAAATACATTTCTGGGAGGAAATATCGCGTATCTTCTGGGACGCTTGAGCGGATATCATTTTGTTAGCTTTAACTAATAGATCGTACATAAAGCATAACAAAGCATTAAATGACAGATCCAAAATAGGTACAGCACAGTAAAAATTATTCTGGGGATTCCCCACACATTCTAGAACCTACACGAGTAAAGGTGAAGAACTTACTAGAATGAGGAACTAAAGATTTTAAAAATTAAATTCTCAGTCAAATACCGTATATTTTAATACGGTAATTAAATAGCTGCCGTATACCGTATTTTTGTTGCCTAAGATACCTGAATGCCGTATATTACGGCAATTGCCGTATCAAGAACAACGCTGCATCAAAGTCAAAATGAAGTGCAACCAAAAAAATCTAGTTCTTTTAAAAAATATTTTAATAGAAATCAGTTGGTAAAGACAAAGCCTATTGTGACTTTCCTTCACAGTTCTACACTAGCCAGTGACAAATTGCGTATTTCTCAAAGACGACCAAACAAAAATTGCAATCATTACTTATTGTTATTATTATTTGTGATACCTTATCAAAAGCAATCGATAGTCTATCGATATATCGATTGTCTTATAAGAAACTATCGAATACTTCAACAATCGATGTTTAATGAACACTACTTTCTAGACAACAAAATATTTAAATTCTCCTACTATCGCCGAATCATTGCTTAAACAAAACGTAAAGCCTTGTTCAAATACTTGTAAATTCCATAGAGTATTGCCTAAAGATATCGTTTATTATTTTAAAACTATTGATATTAAGAAAACGGCAGACTTATGGGGGATTTCCATCAAAGTTATTGCATCAGTAATAGATACTATAGAAGCTTATCTAGCTACAATTTTTAATACACGCGTCGAATCTGGTGTGTTTCCTGATCTAATGAAACAGTGAAGTCATACCTTTATTTAAATTTGGTATGGTATAGTACATTAGACCTCGCCAATTTTAGACCAATTCCTGTACTACCAAGATGAAGTAAAATTTTTGAAAAAATATATTTTAAATCATATCTTAAGTTTTATTTAATACAAACAAATTGCTTCATAGAAATCAATTTGGTTTTACAAGGGGTCGCTTGACTACCGACGCCGGAGTCGAACTTATAAAACATATTTTTTTGTGCATGGGGAAATTCAGAGGATGCTTTAAGTGTGTTTTGTGACCTTTCCAAGGCCTTCGACTGTGTTTACCATGAGACATTAATCAGGAAGCTACAGTACTATGGTGTCAAGAACACAGCGCTTAAACTTATCGTTTCGTATTTAAGTAATAGAATGCAGAAAGTTATTATCAACGGTAAAAGTTCTTCCAGGTTGTCTGGAAAGATGGGTTGCCTCAGGACTCGATTCTTGGCCCATTCCTATTTTTAGTGTATATTAATGACTTACCTTCCCTTGTACGAGATAATCATGATATAGTATTATTTACTGATGGTATTTCCTTGATTTTTAAACTTAAACGTCTATCATTTAAATGTGACGAAGTGAATAATGCTATATCAAAATTAGTGCATTGGTTTAACGATAATAAAACTAAATGTATTAAATTTACAACAACGAATGTCAAAAATCGGAAAACTGAGCTCTGTCGAATCCTCTGTTTTTCTTGGCATCACTCTCGACGCAAAGCTTCTAAAATATTATAAACGTGATAGTTTGTGAGAATGTATGGATGTTTATTACTCTT